AAATCTCTTTACAAACTAGCAAGATGATCTCGATTTAAAATTGAAACCACCGTAACTACCAATTCTACATAATCCCTAAAATTTTTCCACAAACTTCGACTTAATATTGAAACCACGTAATCTACCTATATCATTCAAACTATTTTAAAATATTATTAATTTCTTTTTAACAAACATAACTAATTGGTCAATAAATTCTACTACATTCAGCAATTTTAATTATGATATCTCTTTAATATTCTTACACAAAATTTCATCAATCCCCACCCATTTTTATTACATTGTTTGAGGAATTAAACCAAATCAACGTGGGAACATTATGCAATCATTTCTAGCAACAATTTTACATGATGGAAGTTGGAAGGAGTAGGAAAATTATCAAGGGTTCATTGTTGGCACGTTTCAATTCCACCTTACAACAACTCAATGAATGTATCTCTAGAGATCTTCATTTTCCAGAAGGAAAAAAAAATTACACGACTTTTACTGTCAGTAGATAGGGACGTGGCGTGGGCGTGAGCCATATCCCTTTTGTCGGAAGTCATGTGTAGCGATTGCTGCATAGTTGAGGATACTAACCTTGTATATAACACCATCTACGGGGCAATGGAAGTGCAGACGCCGCTCAGAATATAGTTTACCTTACTGACCCCATATATAACACTATCTACGGTACGGGACAGTGGAAGTGCAGACGCTGATCAGAATACAGTTTACCTTATGAGGAAGAAATTCATTAAGGGGGTCAGTGGAACAATCGTACGCCATCATCACGTCTTTTGCAAGTAGGATTATCGATAAAAATCCAGGAACCATACGTGCCTCTACTTACTCTGTCTTTAGTTTGTCTATACGCGTATTTACTTTATGTATTTATGCAGGGACGTACACAGCACATGAGGTTGATGGTGATGGGAGGTATAAATTTTTATTTAGGAAGGAGTTAGGGCAAAAGTAAGTTGCCTTCCCTCCCATAATGATGGATCCTAACATGGTATTAATTTTCATCTTCTTTAATGCAACTACCCCATTTATATTTTTTAAAAAAACAGTACTTTCTAGTTTCAATCTTATTTTTTATTCATTTTCCACTTTTCTAAATTGATTTATGTTTTTTCGTCCATTTTGCATTTTGATTTCAAAGTATGCATTCAACAGATTTTATCTTACAAATTTTGAAATTTCTAAATCGACGTGTTATTTAAAATTGGAACTTTATAATTTTGATTCACAATCTTGTTTTCTAAAATTTAGGATTTATTGGAGGGTATTTTCGTCACAAATTTATAGGGGTAATGGTTGGATAAATTTACCTATTTTGCTTGGAAGGTAAATTTGGTCACATACAATCTTGTAGCTCAACTCTAACTACCCTTTAGCTATATTTTCGTGATATCTGATTTTTTTGGCCATTTTTCAAATCAAACTATTTCATGCCAAAAAAAAAAAATGATGTGTTTTGAAAAATGACAAAAAAATATTTGAACGGTGGCTAACGGTCAATTATGATTTAATTTTTAAATTTATTTAGGACAAAAATACCCCTAAAATCAAATGGCCAAAAGCATCGACATTCTACCTTTTGTTTATGACCGATATACCCTCATACAATAACATCTTTAGGAAATTCTCTAACCAACTTATAATTCTCAATTTTTGTTTTGCGACAAATATACTCTTGAAACAAAAATAGAATCAGTATTTTAAAATCTAACTCATTTAATTATTTGAAATGGTAGATTTAGTAAAAATATCAAAGATTACATTTTTTGAAGTTCTAGATTTTGGGAAAATATTGTAATAAACCATAAAATAATAATTTAAGTTGCAGTAAAAAAAATCAAATATAAATAAAAACATATGTAATTTAATGTTAAAATATTAAGATTTAATATAGAAAAATGAGACTCGAAATCGAAAATGAAATTTTATGGTTTTTAAAATATAGGGGAGTAAATATATTGAGAGCAAAGACTAAATAATCGTAAGTTTTTCTTGCCTCAAAGTGTAAAGTCCCTGCCGTGTGTCTAGGATGGATATGTGCTCTCCATTACAAAGTCTATGTAGAGTGTGTGATCGTGCGTCTATGTCTCGAGTGACTCGAGTGACAATCACATTTTTTATTCCTCTGTATATGGACCTATCTACATGCTATATCCACAACTATAGACAACAGTTTTAGGGTTCTAGGATTTTTGAAATATGGAGGTAGTAAGTATATTGAGAAATTAAATATAATAATCATATCATGTTAGGTATTTTTCTTCCCCAAAGCACAAAGTTTTTTCTTCTTCCCCAAAAGCATATCGCCTTTCTCTATACGATCTTCTCTTTCTTTTATTTTCTGAAGAACACGTCTGTTGGTGCGTCTAGAATGACTATATGCTCCCTATTATAGAGTCTCTATTACTTGAGTGACATTCACGTTTTCACTTCCGTGGAATTATCTACAGGGTCTGTATCCACGAAGTCGTTGGCCATGTCATTTGAAAAGTGATAGGACTCGCATTACAACACTATGATTTACATTTCCACGATCATAGCAGTAGGAAGAAGATCAAAAGTTTTGGTAGGTGAGACAATAGATTTTTCCTCAACCTCGAGCATAACATGAAGATCCCCAAGGCATATCGTGACGGTAACAAATTTATCAATAATTTCCTTATCTGACAATATCTCTCTTAACGACCTCAACGAAGTTCAAGAATGTGCGTACCAGATGTGGAATAGTATCATTTTCCCAAAGATAACTACAAACCAACCTCAGTTGAATCAAATTACAAACCTTAAAAAGTTCGAAAATAAGGGAAGAAAGCATGGAAGAATAATAAGTATGGGAAATTAATTAGTTTTATTTTGTAATTTAGTAAGATGGGAAGATATTGATTTGACTTTGAAACATAATCTAAATTAGTTGAACGGCTAGATTTTAAGGTAAAGATTTCATGAATTTAGTTTTGAGTTTGAAACAGAATCTGTGAGTTGAGTTGGACAATGTGGGAGGATAAAATGAACAATTGATATTTCGACAGTCCCATAAAAAAAATAATGGTAGGTGGATGTGGGTAGGGCGTAAATACGAAAATTGATCCGTTGTACCATTTCTAAGAAACAAGTATCGACTATTATTGACAAATATAAAACTCATGACCATTTTTCACGGAGCCCATAAAATTGGGTCATTGCTCAAGTTTTACCAAAATAATAACAATAATAATAATAAATTAAAAGATTAAAAAATTAATAAATCAATAACTAATCATTTGTAACATTAGTTAAAAGGTAGTAAATGATAAATTGGACTAATGTCACTAATATCTTTGAATTACCTTTATTTTAATGGTAAAAATCTTATCTACATAAATATGGATAACACATTTTAATGGTAAAAAATATGGACGATACAATCAAAACTGTTCATTGACATATTTGTCAATGAGCATAGCTCAACGATAATTGACATCTTTATCTTAAAGTTGGAAGTTCGATCCTCGATGTCCCCAAATTATTGTACTAAAAAAACATATTTATCGTTATTATTATTATTTTAGTTGAGAATAAGATGCTATGTTTGAAACTCGTCTTTTTTTTCCGAATAAGAGAATTCAAAATTTCAACCTTTTTGATCGATGATTTGTCAAGCTGAATCATTGTTAAAAATTTAATCTCCAATTCGCACTTCGTTGAACTAAAAAAAACTTAAGCTCTAACTCCTCTGCTAAAAGGAAAAAAATTATTATATGTATTGAATAATTTATAACACCAATAAATTATTTAATCCGAGAATTTATATGGTTGCTTATACGTACAAAATAAACCCTCAAAATTCACACATGAAAACCTTCAAAATTCGAATGCAAGTGCTTCGTATCCTAATTCCTAACGGTGGATTTCTATATCGACAACTGCGAAAAGGAAACTAGAGATTGAAGTATTCTTGCGAAGGAAATAGCTCTTCGACAATTGATCATCGCCATCGGTACGCCATTTTTTCCCCCCTCTTTTCTTGGTTTTTTTTCTTCTTGTAGAAACAAGAAAGAAGGCAACATTCGTTTACATAGGAAAAACCAAGAATTCAATTCGTATGAATAGCAAATCCTTGATGATAATTGATAATAAATTATCCCTAGAACAACTTCAAGTGAACTACATTACTTTTTGCAATATTGATACACATACAGAAGGCATGGAGTTTACAAAAATTCATGCCCTGCTGTTTGAAGGGCAGCAATAGCTTCATGCTAAGATTCATTAATCTTAGCCTCTTAGGTCAAAATACTATTTTGATAACTGTAGTTGTTTTGTTCATTCGCTCCTTCTACTTTTTAAATGTCCATTTTGGTTACGATACTTTCAACTCCGATTCATTTTAGTCCTATACTTTCAAAGTTCGCTTTGGTCCCTATACTCTTATAAGTGACCATTTTGATCTTGGCTGCTACATTTTAATATGATATTTGTATACAACGGAGATCCTTTAATATAAAGTTATGGCTACCTTTAAGAAATATATAATTATAACTATAGTGTCGTGTTGAAGTTGCGAAAAGAATGAGATAAAAAAACAAATGAAGGGACTAAAATAGATAAAAGTTAAGTAAAAAATCAAAAATGAATATTTTGAAAGTAGATGGACCAAAATAAACAGAAGAAAGTATGTCGACAAAAATAGTATTTCAACCTTAATTTTATTATCAATGGTATTTATTTTCCCAGTTTGGGGGATTAAATCCTAAGACCCCAAATTGATTTAGAATCAACCCAAAGTTAGGAGCGGACTACCTCAACGGCGACTCGAGGTAAGAACTAAATTCCTCCTTAAGCAGAATAATCACAAAAATGGGGCCAGGCTCATGGCTTGCGAAAGTGAATTTTATTAGTTATCAAAACCTCAAAAATACAATACAATATACTGAATGAGGCTGTTTGGGCCTAATCCCTTTTCCTAGTAAGATAAGGGTTTTCCTAATTGGAAAATAAAGATATATCTAAAACGAGTCAATAATAAATTAAAGACTTGGCCTTATATCAAATAACTAAACTACCCTAACTAACTAAACATGACCTAAAAGGGCAATTTGCCCTTAAAATTTGTAAAATTACACTGGAAAGTTTTATCTAAAGATGCAATCTCCCATTTGAAAAGTTGTTGGTGTAGATAGATATGAGGCTCTCTTTCCTTCATTGAAGATCTATGCCATTTCTAGCATATTATTATCCATTTCTTGATTTTCCTGGTAGCTGTTTGACTTGAAACCTTGGCTGGATAATTCATATCATTCTCTTTATGATATATGTATTCTCGTGGGGGGTGGGGGGTGGGGGGATCTCTCTTTGTATTCTCTGTGCTAGATCCTTTGTTCTCAGGCAGCTGATAAAACGAGTTGAAGAACTCTTGTTTCTTCTTATTTTATCAATGAAAAATCTCGTTTATTGTTTGAAAGATGTATGGGCTAAGGATTGGGGCATGGAAGAGTTGGAGTTTGATCTAATTCTCATGAGTTTTTTAATAGGTGGGAGTGGAAAAAGGTTCAATATACCGATCAGCTCTTAAAACACTTGATGTAGCTAAGGAAAGGCTTATCAGAAACAGGCAAGAATTTGACAGTCCAACCAATTGGCCAAGACACAGCTGCAATGGCAATGCAAAGTCCCCACTGCCAACCATTTAGATTTACTGTATCTGCAAATATCTTTAGGAATTCTACCATAACAACTTGTAGAACAACTGTTATTCCCACAATCCCAAGAAATAAATGATTCTTTAGAATTCCTTCAAAGACGTTCCTTTTCTCTAGTTTCCTTGCATTGAACTCATTAAAGATTTGGCAGAGAACAAAAGTGTTGAAGATTAGTGTATCATTTACCCCCTCACTTACATTGAATATGGTGCTTCCATGGAACTGGAAAACTAAGAGTACTGCTATTTGGTATAAAGCTTGAGCTAAAAGGTTCCTCCACATGACATTTGTTATAAGGGGTTCTGTTCTTCCCACTGGAGGTTTGTGCATTAGTTCATCATTTGGTCTCTCAGTGGCAAGTGCAAGAGCACCCAATGTATCCATTATGAGATTTACCCATAATAATTGAACTGCTGTTAAGGGAACTTCTCCAGCTGATACTGCTGCTACGAAGTTAATTGTGAGAGCTGCTACGTTGACTGTTAATTGAAATTGGATAAATTTTTGGATATTGTTATATACACATCTTCCCCACCTCAAGACTGTGGCTACTGTGGCGAAGTTATCATCCAATATAACTATGTCTGAACTCTCCTTTGCAACCTCTGTGCCTTCAATGCCCATCGAGAGACCTATGTCGGCTTCTTTAAGAGCCGGAGCATCGTTCGTGCCATCTCCAGTTACGGCCACGACATGGCCTTTTTGTTTTAAGCATTGGACCATCAAAAGCTTGTCAAATGGAGTGGATCTTGCCATCACCTTGATTTGATCAACTCTCTGTAGTCTCTCTTCGTCTGAGTAGTTTCGGAATTCAGAACCTTCTATCACTTCTCCGCTGCTTGCTGAGTTGTGGTGATCAAAATCTAATATTCCACATTCTGTGGCTATAGCTTTTGCTGTGAAAATGTTGTCTCCTGTGATCATTTTGATGGAAACTCCAGCTGATTTACATGCTACCACAGCTTTTTTTGCCCCCGGTCTACATGGATCCTTAATGCCAACTATTCCCATTAAAGTAAAGCCATCTTCTTTCAAGTTTGAGGCAATTGGTGTGGTGTTGTTTTCCTCTTCTTCTGAGATTTGTCTATAAGCAAAGGCAATGCATCTTAGGCTACTTGCTGCCATTCCTTGGATTACATTCTCAATTTTCCTTTGGTTATCACTATCTAAGGGATATGTTTTACCATTTTTTTCTAAGTAACTTGAACACATTGAAAGGATCATCTCAGCAGCTCCTTTCCAATGTTGATAGATTGTGTTATCGGCTATTCTTTTTACCAAAACCCCACTCCTTTTCTTCTCTGAGTTGAAGGTTTCCACATGAAGAATGGCGTATGATTTCTTCAACTTTTCCATGTCCATACTAAATTCTGTTACAGCCCAAGAGAGAATCGCTTTCTCAGTTGGACTACCAGAAATTTCAGTTTTGGATTCTGATGATGAAGATTTGTAGACACTTCCTGTTGTATTCAAGCCAACCCCTTGGTTTATTAACTCATGAACACCCTCTCCTATGGTATTGGAAGAGTTTTCCTCCTCGAAGAATTCTTGGCCAAGCCAAAATTTGGTCACTTTCATTTGGTTTAGTGTTAAAGTACCTGTTTTGTCAGTGCAAATCACAGTTGCTGATCCCATTGTTTCACAAGCTGACAGATTCCTCACCATTGCCTGATCTGCCATCATTCTCTTCATAGAGTAAGCTAGTGTTAGTGTCACAGCCAATGGCAAGCCTTCAGGGATTGCAACCACTACTATGGTAACTGCAGCAGCAACTATACGGATAACTGCATTGAGCACATCGTCTACATCCGTTTTTCGACCTTTGTACTCCTGATTCCCAAAATCGTCTGTTGTGTTTCCTGTGAAGTAGCGTGCTAACATCACAACTAAAACCAGGAAAGCAACAGAGAGACCTACCTGTTAAGAATATGAATGCTATCAGCTTAACCTTTTGGGATATAGCGGCGATTTTAATATGGTACTAGAGTAAGATGTCCTATATTTGTCATATCATCACCAATTCATATGGATAAAGTCCTATATTTGTCATATCATCACCAATTCATATGGATAATCACTTTTGGGTCTTGTAGTAATTTTTAAGCCAACAACCTAGCGAAAAAGACTGTTAAAGAATATGAATTAAAAGATTAAATTTATAAGTTATAACTGCAATCTATCATCTTAAGCTTTTGTAGGTTTAGTAGTGGTTTAATGTTACCTTCCCTATAAAAGAGGTCAATTTGTTAAGACGAACTTGTAATGGTGTTTGTTCCTCAGAATCCCGAGATATCGAGCTCATCATCTCACCCCATGCTGTGTCCATTCCCACTGATGTCACCAGCATTTGGCCATGTCCATTGACTACTTTTGTTCCAGACAACAAGAAGGGGTTCTCTGTGGAGTTGAGTTCCAAATGATCACTCTCTCCTGTCATGCTTGACTCATCCACATGCAAAGAATGGCCATTTAAGAACAACCCATCAGCTGGAATTTGGTCCCCTAGCCTTAGAACCACCACATCTCCGACCACGATATCGAAGATGGAAACTTGTATGCGTCTTTCATCTCGCAGCACCTGTTCAAGAGAATATGAAGAAAAGATTCAATATGAAGAAAAGATTCAATTCACTGCAACCTATCAATTTAAGCTTTTGATTTTAGTAATAGTTTAAATAGGATCGGAGCAAGAATACTATATTCAAACTCTTGCCGTGTTTAAGAATAGGAAGAAAAAGATTAAATTTATCATAACCTATCGACTTAATACTACCTCCACTTTGATATTGTTACTTATTTTCGATAGCTTCTCGAATTGCATCTCCTGTCTGAAGTTACTGATTGCTGACACCACAACAACCAACCCAACAGCTACAAATATGCTCCCTCCTTCATACCATCCTTCTTGAATTCCATGTTCTTTTATTCCAAACCCAAGCGCCAGAGCCGCACATACAAGTAAAATGAGAATGGTGGTGTCCTTGAAAGCTTCCACAACAAAATGAAAGAAACTCTTTGGGGGTCGCTTGTGGTAAGTGTTCGAACCGAACATGTCGCGACGCTTGCTCACATCGTCACCATTGTCGTTGATTCCATTCTCTGGATTTGTTCCAAGAGAAGTGGCAATGGCTGCAGCTTCCCCTAACTCACGCAGAGCCACCATGTTTTTGTTCTTCACCATTTCAATCAGCTTCTTCTGATCAACTTTGCTGCAGCTTATTTCATTAACATCAACCACATCGGACTCTTCCTGTAAGATCTCAAAGTTGACCAAATCCTGTTTGTCGGATATAATATCTTGATCGACGAGGGAGATCAATCTCTGAACGAACGAGATCGTTGCGTAGGCAACGTGCCAACGTTTCAAGGCTTCATGTTTGCTATTGATCTTCATGGTTTCTATCGTCCCTGCAGCGTACCTGTTAAAAGTTTGATAAACGCTTAGATTAACCACAAGGTCCATAACCCATTTAACATGATATCTAAGCAAGAGGTCATGTGTTCGAACCCCAATGATTTTATTATCTCTCCAATTAATATCGATAACTAGAGTGTTAAAGTATCAAAAATATTATATCTATCGTAACCTATTAGCTTAAACTTTTGAGTCAAGTGCAAGAGTACCTTGGCTCCATATCGATCCCCATGTAGGAACCGAACTCGAACATGCCGGAGTTGTAATAGTCATCCCTTTTGGACACGGCAAGAGATAGCATGGCCCGGATGGAGTATATCGCTGTAAAGGCAAATCTCCACCTCCTTCGAGCTCTGGCGCTATCAAGAAGTGAGATTCCATGGTCAATGGATTCGTACTTCCTCATACCCGTTGCTGTTTGCTTCATTGTTGGGTGCCAGAAATTCCTAAACTTTGTGGCCGACGAAGCTTATTTATATATATATATATATATATATATATAGATATCTTTCACAGGTTAAACAAAGACTTGTTGTAGCAGAGTAACTTTATTGGTCAATTCTTATGAATCAAACTCAAATAATATCGAAATACGAGCTTTCAGGAAAAATCTGGAGAGATGGAACTCCAGCCAATTCTTGGCTTATATCATAATCTGAAACTTGTACTGTATTTGTTTGATTTCTTGTTCCAGACAAATTCACAGGTGGAGTGGGGACAAAGTATTTGTGATGTTATTATGAACAGGTGGAAAATTCAGCGAAATGGCTGATTTGGGTTTCTTTCGTGCTGTCGAATGAATTGAACTTGGAAAAGAAACAGTGAAAGATGTTGGTGTGAATAGGTGTGGGGTGGCCCTTAAATTGATAAGAAAGGATGGATCTGAAATGGAAACGTGGAGACCAATATATGGTTAGTCAAACTCGATTTTGCTTTCTGAATTCAGATAGAAAGATTCTTCTTTTTTTCCCTTCACATTTGATTGGTCAATGTTTTTGCTTTTGATTGCTCAAATTACCAACCAAAAAAAAAAAACTTTTAATATAAGATGTCACGCAATTGGAAAAATATAATAATATATATATTTCATAGGACTTGAGATTTGAATTTGGTTTTTATTTGATCTACAAAGTTTCATCAATGAATTGTCACGCAGATCACCATCGTTCTCTCTTCCCTTCTCTAAGGTAGGAGAACAGAGAGTGGGGAGGTCAAAGCGAAGGTGAAACTAAGGATAAGGGAGGAGAGAGAAAGGAGACAAGAAGAGAAAAGAAAAAATGGCATGAGATAAAACAATAAAAAGAATTTATAAAAGTTGACACATCATTTTTTTAGGCTAAAAATAGAAACTGTAGGAGAGGGAAGAAAACCACCCACGAATTGACTCGACTAGACTCAATTCGGGTATAAATGACCTACTTGAGTTAGGTTGTGTTTTATTCATTTGTCGTAAAATCGACCCGACCCAATATTGTTATACTCTTTGTTGGGTGTGATTGATCAAGGAAAAATTGGTGCATGGTGTTTTAAGTTTTATTATCCAATTTATTAAATTAATGAAGATTTTCCAAATTTTAATTTAATTTATTTTTAAAAGTATCAATTTATTAAATTACATTTTAGAAGTAACCCGTAAATTAGTGATTATGGGTGGCATAGATACCATTAAAAAAAATGAAAATTTATTTTTGATTACCACGATAATTTGTTTCACCTCAAGAATATTAGAAATTTTATTTTTTTTAATTTTCTAATCTCTTAAAAATGTCATGTATTTAAGGAATTTAATAAATTCCCAAAAAAAAGAACCCTGCTTTTCTTTTTTCTTTTTTCTTTTTGTTAGTGATTCTTTAATTCATGTTTTTTAAAATTGTTTGTTCGGTTTTTTTAAAGCTAGTTATGGTGAGAAATTTCGTGTATTTATGAAATTTTAGCAAAAATTTATAAAGAAAATACTACCCAACCTCGAAAATTTAATATTTATTTTTAAATTTAGAAAGCATTATAGTTTATCTTTACTTGGTGGGTGTACAAGATTTAAGAAATATAAAAAATAAATATATACAACTCGAAATGAGAGGATATTGTGATTTGAATTCTAAAAAAGTACTAATAACTCTTTTCAAAAATTAGATCTTCACTGCCATCTAGATTGTTACAAAATGAAAAGATGATAAAATATTCAAATTTCGACCACATTAGTTAAATAAGTTACAGCCAACAAGATATATATCCCACAAAATTACAGTGTTCAAACAAAATCATATTGCCTCCTATTCCAATTTACTATTTGTAAGGAGAGTAAAAATAATAATAATTAAATAAAATAGTAAGAACTTCAAACCTTATACTGAGTTAAATGAGATTTTGTGCATCCTTTGGTTCTCAAAGTCTTTTCTTTTGCTTATTTTCAATACAAATCAATCTCTTTATATAGGCCAGAGATACTTTTCAACCTAGCTTTCTTAATTTCAAATTTCAAACTTTATTCATCAACTCAATTTAATTTTCTCTTATTTCTATTATTTTTATGATTTTAGATTTTAACTTTTTTTTAAGTACAACATGTTGGGAGGGGATTTGAGCTATGCGCGCTTTGACATTTTAGATTTTAACTTAAAACAAATGAAGATGTTGGAGTAATAAAAATAAAAATGACCTGGACAAAATATGGTATCTACTTCGTTAGTTAAGGGATATTTGGTAGCACTTCGGCTTTTGTTTTCTTGTTTTAAAAATTATGACGGTTTTTGTAAACTTTCTTGGGTAAGTCCTTCACTTTCTTAAAAACATATTTAAATTTTTAGAAAAACTAAAAAAAAGAATTTTTTTTTTTTTGGTTTTCAAATTTTACATTAGATTTTGAAGATGTTTATAAAAACTATATAATAAGACAAAAAAAAATATAGGTGAAAGTAATTTTTCTAAGCTTTATTTTTAAAAAAGTAAAACAAGAAATGAAATGGTTATCGGGGACTAAGTTTTTCACCTTTCCAGAAAATATATTTGAATTCTTAGAAAAATTTCGAAAAAAAATTAATTTTTCAAAAACTATTTTTTTTTTAATTCAAAATTTGGATTGGATTTTGAAAATGTTAATAAAATATTTATAACAAAAGAATTACATAGGTGAAAGTAATGTTTCTCAGTTTAATTTTTTAATATTGAAAAAAAAAACGAAATGGTTAATCAATTTTTCTTTTACTAAATGCCACATAAGTTGGTAAAATGTGAACTTTTTCTTTCTAATATTAAAAGTTGAATGGATATTTTCAAAGTTGAGAGTAAAATCTTTTGCCACTTAATTATATTCAATTTTATTTTTAAACGTTTAAACTACATCAATTTTATTTAAAAATGTAGGACTAAGTAGCATTAAATAATTATTTACGAAGAAAACTTAATAGTGTGAAGCAGGAGAGTAGGTACTGGGGCAAAACTTTCCAATCATTTATTTGATTTAATAATAAAATATTATTAAGTATAAAGTTATTTGATTATTTAAAAGGAATCCAAAGTGCTACCCACAATGGCCAAAAAAGAAGGAAATAAAGTTTCCACGTCTAAAAAGTCATGCACCACACAGGGAGGATTAAAATATTTACTAGTTAAAATACTATTTTGGAATCTACGGTTTCGGTTTTAATTCATTTTAGTTTTTGCATTATTTTAGTCGGCGTACTTTTAATTTTGGTTCATTTATTCGTTGTACTTGAAAAAAATATTGACTATTTTGGTAATTATTTTAGAAATTTTAACATAAATTCTACACTTAACAAAAAATTTTCAATATAGAGTCATGATTACGTTTTACGAAATATGTTGAGTATAATGTTGTATTGAGATTGTAGTAGAAAAAATGAGACTAAACGAACAAATATTTTGAAAATACCGAGACAAAAAGGAACATTTTAAAAGTACAAGTATTAAAACGAACGAAAACTGATATTTTAATCATATTTACACTGAGAGTCCAATATTGTACGAATACAAAAAATCATGAACTTGAATAACAACATTTATGATTTATTGAGAGGGTATAAAATACTTATGTATTAATTGAAATACTTTTATAAGTTGTTTGGTTTCTATCATTTTGTAACTATTTGCTTTACATGTTATTCGGTAACAAACCTTAGGGTAGGCTATTTGCTTTTATAACTAAAAGTTTTTTGCTTTCTATCAACTACTTTTCTTTATAATTAACCAAAACTAAAAGCATATTTTACTATTTATAAAAGGAAACGTGAAATAATAAACAAGAAAATGGGACCTGTTTGGTAGCGTCTCCGTTCCCGTTTTCAATTTTCTTAAGAAATCTAAGTATTTTACAACTAATTTCATTTATTATTTCTTCCTTTTTGTTTCTATTTTCAATTAATATAAATCACCATCCAATACATTTTTCTTCATTAAAAAATAAAGAAATAGAAAAAAAAAACAATAACTTTACTAAATGAGTCCTTACCAAACAGGCTCTGAACGAGAACGTAATTTAATTAAAAAAAAAAGGGAAAATGCTGTCGATGAAGCGAAATTATGGTGGCGGTCAAGGAAAGTTCCTAGCATCTTCCTCCTTCGCTTTCTTGGTAGGAAAAATAAAAAAGAAAGGCACATTTTTGTTGACTTGGATTAATTTACAAATATTTTAAATGAGGAGTTCAATGATTTCATATTTCAAAGTTTAAAAAGACAGATTTCGACGAGTCTCAAATGACTTTTAAGATCGTGAAAGGTGCAGTCTGCCAGAAAGTATTTCTTAATATTTGATTTAATAATCACTAGATATCACGATTTTGCAATTTGTACCAAGAAATTTAAGAAAAGAAAATTAGAGGAATAAAAAACACATTAAAAGAAGGCACACCTT